GTTTGCATCTAAGTGCTTGAAACATAAAAACAGCAAATGAGCATTTAAAATCAGCAAGTAAATGGTCATTGGAACATCACAATATTGAATTTAAGTACTTGAAACATAAACCAACAACAGAACATTTAAAATCAGCAAGTAAATGATCATTGAAACATCAAAATATTTGCATTTAGATGCTTGAAACATAAAACCAGCAACAAAATATTTAAAATCAGCAATAACATATAATCAAAATATTGTTTATATTTCTCCAAAATCAGTAAGAATATTCCTCCAAAATCAGTAAGAATGTATTCATGTGGAGAGGATTCCATTTCAATTTTATGTAAATAATTTGATAGCCATAAGATGCAATAGCTGGAAGAATATACCTGCAACCGAGAAGAATTAGAAGAGATACCAATCTCATGTGGCGAAGAGGGACAACCGAGCGTTGTAGAGTCAGCAAGCACTAAACAGGTGAAATATGGGACTTTCGAAGGTCTTGCACGCGGTGATCCCGTGGCCAGCTAATTCTAATAGCAAGTGTGCCGCTGGGTTTCCATCGAGAGGTGAAGTCGAATAGGAAAGGTGACGAGAATTTTGGGCGCGGGTAGGAGAGCGGTAGGAGAGCCGACGAGAGCCGACGAGAGAAGCGAAGCCGAGCAGGAAAAGTGAAGCCGGGCGAGAGAAAGGCTTCGGTGCAGAGGGGAGGCGAGCGAGGAGGCGAAGCAGGCGTGAAAGGAGGGAGTCGAAGCAGGCGACAAAAAAAGGAATCGAAAGCCTCGGTGCAAGAGTCGAGCGAGAGGAAGTGTGGAGCGGGAGGTTTCATTCGAAGTAGAGAGCGAGAGAGTGGGTTCTTTCGTCGCAGGGAGGAGGCAAGTGCGGGAGAAGCTTTGCGGCTTCGGTGTTGGAGACGGAGGCAACGAGGAGGGATCGAGCTTGAGAGCGGGAGATGATCAGGAGTTCGGGAGAGGCAGAGGAGGAAGAGGCAAAATGCAGAGACGGGATCGAGCGGGAGAGGTGCTTCGATCGCGAGTGGGAGAGACGCCTCTTCGGTCGAGCAGAGGAGCAGAGGAGCAGGCGAGTGCGGGAGAGGGTCGCGCGAGAAGGTGAGGCGTGTGAGCGGTAAAGGCGAGCCGGAGGAGGCGAGCGAGGGAGATGGCGATTCGAGAGAGGGGTTTCGGTGCAGAGGAAAATGGACGAGCGGGAGAAGAAGCGGGGGCCGAATCTTACCTCAAGCGAGGAAGGTTCTCGATGCAAAGGGGAGGAGCGAATCAGGAGTTTTTTTTGGTGGAGACCGTCTCAAATCGTGTCGAGAGGGGAGAAGAAGGCGAGTGCGGGATCGAATAAATGAAAGGAGCAGGCTTGAGAGCCGTTACTTCAAAGCTTTGGCGGGGAATTGAATACCTTCCTTTCAGGCAGTCAGGGAATTCAATGCCTTCCTTGCAGCCAGCTTAAATGATAAATTTGAAATTTAAATTTTAAATTTTGAAATTTCTGAGCTGAAGTAATTAGCCCGTGCTTAATCCATATCGAGCCTGAATTGAACCCGAGTCGAACCTGGGTTGAGCCCGGGCCCGCGTCGCGCTAAAAGAATGTGCATCGATTTCCGTATCATTTGTGCGCGCGCGTAACCCTAGCAATATATGTGTCATTTCTAGCTAAAGTTGACGTTTCAGACGCTTTGGCGCTGTCCGTTTCGTCATCCGGGGTCGTCCGGACGAGTTCACCGGCGAACGAGTCAATTCAAGTCAAAGTCGTGTGTGGTGCAGTGAGTGCGTGAATTGCGGCGTTCACGAGTAATCGAGTCACAAATGGTTTACCTAAGGGCGTTTGATCCTTCAGGAACTCATTTTCGGGCCCTCTACATGTTGGTCCTGAGCCCTTGCAACTAGAAGTTGAGTGCTTAGAACCACTCATGCGAGTTCTTCACAAAAATGAGTTAAGAAGTGACTTGAAGTTCTACGGGAGGTGGGCTCCATTGCTAGTCCGCTAGGATGGTCAATAAGAACTCCTAAAGCTAGATCCTAGGTTCTACGAGTAGAAGATTAAGACCTCACTAAAAAAAAGAGGTCAACAATCATGAGTAAGCTTATTGATTGAAATTAAATTTTATTCCAATTGTGGAACATATAAAGCAGAGGAAAGAGTAACCCTGAGAGAGCTTCACATCTTTTTTCTAGCAATTTGAGTGTGAGCAAGTCTAACAAATCTAAATTTGAAAATCTCTTGATAGTTGATTAAAACATTGATGTTTCCAGTCATATGATTAGAAGCTCTTGAACTTGTGATCCAAGTTCTAAATCTCTCATTGCTGTCAAAATGAGAGAATGATGTGTTACATTGTTGTGTCACGAGGCTGGTGTGTGTTTTGAATTACCTCCAAAGGGTTTTTTTAGTACTTAAAGTTATTCCTTGGTGAATGGGCCCCTCAAAAGTGGTAGTAACATTAGCCTTATTCTCTTGATCTATTCTTTCATGTTTAGGTTTTCAATATACAAGTTTTCCATATAGTTTCCAACATTTATCATTGAGATGCCCAATTTTCTTGCAATAGTAACATATGGGACAATTCTTCTTGAACTTTGATTCATGGGAAGAATTATAGGTGTACAAAATTGATCTTTCAGTACTTGGTAAACTTCCATGTCCAATCATCATAAGTTTCTTTCTACTCTTTTCTCTTCTAATTTCAACAAAAGCTTCACAGGTAGAAGGAAGAGACTTTATTCCCATGACCCTCTCTCCCACTTCATGCACTTCCTTAGTCCCACTAGGAATTTGAAAGTTCTTTTCTTCTTGATGATAAATTTATACATCACGACATCATGTGAATATTTTCACACATATGCCTCAAATATATCAAATTGTAGTCAATACTTTGTCGAGGGGTTGAAATATTGGGTGACACTTTGCTCTCATTGACAAATATAATGTAGTTTGGTTTCAATCTCAAACAAAGCTTCAGTATTCTCAATGCTTGAATAAGTTTCTCTTGCAACCTCCCAGATTTCTTTGGCTGTTTTGCAGAGCAAGAAATTTTCTCCTACTTTAGTGATCATTGTGTTAGCTAGTCAAGATATAACAATTTGGTCTTAAATTTTTTATGGTGATGTTAGGGCCAGTGAGCTCAGAAATTGTATCCTCTCATGAGATGTTCCTCTTTTTTTTTTTCCACAAATGTACAAAAATATGGGTTGAGAACATTGAAGGAAATTATGGTCATTGAGTTTATAATTTAATATATAATTCCAGATCTCTAATTTAGAACTAACATCCGGTGTAAAACTAGACATCTTCATTATGTACTTGGGTTATAAAATCTATGCACATTTAGGGCCGGATAAGGAGTTGGTTACTGCTTGCTACAAGAAGAGTCCAATAACTATGATAAGGAGCATAGGAGGGATTGCAGGCTAGTTGGAGTGATTCTGACTGTTGCAGGGAGGATTCCGACTGCTGGACGGATTTTGGAGTCTCCAACAACTATAGAGCGAGCATATAAATCCTATTGTTTGTTGATGAAGGGGAATAGAACTGTAGATAAAGCAGCCAGACGCCTCGCGATGCAGTCGCTGATCGTTGCAGATGAATCTAACGAGGTCGCTTGAAGCAAATGACCCAATCAGGGTGAATTGAAGTGATGTAGATGAAGCCAAATGTTGTCGATTAGCCGAACGACGAACAATGCCCTAATTATGAATGTTGTAGCCGAGCCGAACGACGTACATTGCCCTTATTTCATCGCAAGATGAAGGCATGATTTGATACTATGAAGAAAAATGTTGGAGGTAATAATTGCGTCATTATCATTATTCAAACATAATATTATATATATATATATATAGGGAAACCTGTCTCCTAACTTACAATCTTACCAAATATATCTAGCCTAAATATGAAAATGAAATAATTATGAAATAAAAATAAATAAAATGAGAATAAAAACTAATCAAGGAGTTTCCAAAGTTATCTCCATTTAATCCTTACATCATTCCTTAGGAGGTTGGCCGACCCACAATGAAATGGAGGCTGATCATCCTACATTTCCACAAAAAACAATTGGTTAATTCTTTATTGATCTTAATGTTAGTGCTCTATTTGAGCAATCTCATTGGATATTTATGTAGTATGATCTTCTAGAGAGCAATCACGTGTAGTCATCATCATGATTTAGCCTAATGAGAACTTACTTTGAATCCTATAAACCAACATTACAATAACCCTTTAGTCCTAATCCTACTAGAAAATATTTGATGGTGTCCATTTTTGGATGGCCAAAGAAAATTTCTTTAATGAAAAAAATATTCAAATGGTTTTTTTGGGAAGATTCAGGCTGTCCTTACGAAGAATTCGGATGGTCATATGAAAGTTGGATTGATGCACTTGTAGTTAGTTTATAACGAGTAGTTGCAGGATGGCGAGAGGAAAGAGCTATGTGAAGGTAGTGATGTTAACCAACGGCAGATATGCAAAATGTAGGCATATGGTGTTGAGGACATTCTGCTACTACAAGGAAACAACGAATTGATGATGATGGCAAAGTTTGGGCACGTGTCCTTAAAAACTAAAAGGAAACTAGATAATTAAATAACAATCTTATAGTCATTGTAAAAATTAAAGATCTTTAAAATTCAGGTAGTTAGTAGTCAAGCTTTTGAGTTGTGCACACAGGTTTGAGGAGTCTAATGGTATAACGTTTAGATAAAAACGTCAATTCAAGAGAATTATTTTCTATTCATGCAAGGAAAATCACATATTTAAAAGTTTAGATCCATTAGTGATATTCATTTATTTGTCTATTCTTCAAAAGTAATTTTCTATTCAATTGATCAATGAAATATGATATCCTTATGGGACCAAAAATGTCTTCCCTGTTTGTATGAATGTTGTTTGGAGCATATTCAAATAATTTTTCATATCAAATAAAAAAAAAAAAAGAACGAATTTAACTTCATGTTTTCAGAATTCAACCTGCTTCTATTCAGCACTGATAAAGTTTCCCGCTCCTTTAGGTGGTAAGAGCGCGTACAAAATCCTGATGGAGAAGTTCAACTTGGTTGGAGCTGCCTTCATGGAGCTGAACGAAAGGTCATTTCTAATACCTGCATTCAAATATTTGAATTGATAGTAATATCCAAATGCATGATTAGATATTGATACTAATATTAAATTATATATTGATCTTCCCCATTTTCTAGAAGGATGGGAAGATTTCACACTTCCATTGTTGGAAATGTTTATGTTCCTTTTGGTATTCATCCACCATAGTTAGTTTAAGTTCTCTTTTCAATTGTATTAACTTTTTGCAGTCTTTGTTTTGTAAAATAAATATAATTTTCAGGAACTTCCATGGAAGTATTAATTTTCTAGTAAAACTATGGCTAATTTAAACATAAATAATCAAATCTTTAGAATAATTAAATACTGCTGGTGCTTGCTGGAAAAAATCTTGTACTATCTGAAGGAAGCCTGTTAACCCAGTTAAAATCTATGACAACTATTCAGTTAAGTTGCTCCTTTTTTTCTCTCTGCAAACATCCTACCATGCACTACTATAAGGTTTTTATTTGATTAAATAGCTATAAAAGTACTGCATTGTGCATCCTTCATCACATAAAGGCCACATCAAACATCATCACCAGCTCTATCTTCCAAAATAAAAATGGATCTATATGGTTCTCATAAGATAGAGTCGATATGAAGTAAAATGGATATGTGCAGGTAAAATGATTATTACTAAACAAACATTAACTTCAATTTCAGCACTTAAATTACATGCATTTGATAGGAATTGTGGGGTTGAAAATTTGAAATATTGACTAAGTTTACCATGAAGTTCTAGGTCAAATTTTTAGATGGCAGATGAGATAGTAGGTACGACATTATCTAGAGATTTAACCCTCATTTTGCGAGAACTTTAAAGTCTGGGATTCGAGGTTTCCTATAGGCACAAGCCTCCATAATTAATTATTCCTCCTGATAACGGGAGAACACTTTTGATTAGGGCTAGTCATTTGGCGCTAAGTATTTGGACTTAATATATAGTGACAACAATATTAAAAGTTTAAAATATGAAAATTATCACCGCAAGCTTAAAGTGGATGGAAGGGGAAATGATGATGCATCCAATCAAGATCTCATAATTCGGTCATCCTGGGTTTATGATCACTGATATACTTAGTTAGCGGAGGTAATCAATCTAACCTGAAAAAAAATTCTTCTTAGCAACCTAAGGTTGCTTCGTCCAAGGGAACCTTATAGACCGGGGGCGAATATTTGTCTAAGAGGTCTAATCTAAGTTGACCTTCGCTTACCGAGAGTCTTGTGTCCTATCAGGTGTACCTTATGATTTCAAAAAGGTAGATTGTTGTTACAGAACATATGTGCTATGATTATGTCATTTAACAACATATCATTCAATTTGAGGGCTCTAGTTGTAACCACTTATTGTGGTGCCATTTTACGACAACACCACGTGAACAAATGACTCAAATCATATTAGCATGAGATTGTTTTGAGTTTAAATTTAGTAGTATAATTAATATGATATTGACTATTTGTAAGGTTGAGTCAACATTAAATTCATCCAACATAACAAATGGTTGCAGATAGTGGATGAATTTTGCTATAAGTATTGAGCTATTAATTTTATTTTATTTTAATATTTATGGATTTTATGATATGAAAAATTTATCTTATGAATATTTCCTCTTGAGTTGAGATGTGCAATGAATAATGTCCATCATTGGCGAACGGTTATTACTTGAACATTACTTCAAATACTAGTCCTGTCTACTTCAAAACCCATGAAGAGGATCCAAATTTGTCTATTGGAGCTCTATCCTTTGAACTCCAATCCCTATAGGGAGGATGACAGACTGGAGGCTCAATCTTGTCAACTCTAGTCCCTATAAAAAGATGAATTAGACTGTTTGAAGTGCGAGACTTACAATTTTGTTCTGTAGGCAAGATGCCCACGGCCCATGCAATATTCTCAAACCACACACGTAAATATTTAATAAACTAGTCGGAGCACATGCGAGATTTTTTGAACTTGTTTTGATTGACTCGTAGGGAATTTTAGTATTCTTTGTAAGGGTATGATATCATTGAGATTTATGTAAATATTTTCATTTGAAACCTTTCATTTTACCTTCTGTCTGCTCGCATAGTTGATATTGTGAATCGGGTGGTGAGAAAACGTGAATTGGATATAGTTTTATAGCTTTGAGCTTAGATTCCAATTCAGATGGTTTCACTAGATGCCATTTTTAAATATCTTTACATGGGCGGCGTAATTCGTCTTAATATGATTTATTATATTTGATCAAGCTCATGGGGCATCGTTTTTCTTCTATAAATAGTAGGCTATATGCCATTTCTGAAGTGAAGTGCTAAGGCTCTTGTAAGTTCATATCTTCTTTAATTTCTTTCTTATAATTTATGCATTTTATTTCTTATCTCCCTTTTTTGTGTTCACTTAAGCTATAGAAATTTTGATTATGTTTAATATAAGTCATTTTTAAGGTCATTTAAGTTCAATTTACGTTTTGGTTCGGTCCGAAATTTGATAGCATTTCAGCAGCCTTCTGGCTTATCCCTGCTTCGGAGGAAGCATCGGGGAGCCAGGACCTTCTTACCACGCTTAAAAAGCGCGCATGAGCCTTACTTGCATAGAAACATTAACACATGCATATACGGAGCCATTTTTGCTACACCGACACGGCGCAGGTAGTTCTTTAACTCACCATAATCACAAAAATTTGTATAGGGCTTGCAATTTGAAACACATAGCATATAGAATTTTCTCGTGGACAGGAGTACATATCTTTTACACAATTAAGCTAGCAGAATTTATACTAGAACCTTTTGCACTCCACACCCCACTAGACAACACAACAACTTGAGTCCACATAAATCTGAATTCTGTATCTCTCTCAAGCAAAACAAACCATGATAACAACTCTTTTTTTTTTTTTTTTGTGTGAAGAAACAAACTTGCCCTCCTTAAGCCCTACAGAACCTAAAATTATAACTTTCTTTTGCAAACAATACAACTCAAAATGACAACTTTGTAGTTCTACAGAAAGATAAATTCCACTGTTCCACCATTATACCTTTGCGTAATAATAGACTGGTCGAGTCACCGGAGGATGAAAAGGGTTGGCAGGTTTTTTGGATAGGAAGAGTGACGGCCTGCGGGTCTTGGGATAGCTGGCTGCATGAGGAAGAGCTGTGATGGGGGGCTTGAATCTCGGGGTAGCTGAGTATCTTTCAGCTTTTAGATGGGGAGAGAATTGGATGAGAGAGCTATCGTAAAAGTATGAGGAAATGAGCTCACTTGGTGGTGCGATGTGAAGCGGAGGAGTTCGGGACAACGAGCAAGCAGTTTGAGGGGCTGTGGATCTTCCTGCCTTAGTGAGGGGAGTAGTGGAAGAAATGCTTTATACAGGAGATATGTGCGTAGAAAGGGAGAGGAAGTGAGATCAAAGAGAGAGGAGGATACTGGGAGAAAAGCCAGGGAGGTGGTTGTTGAGCTTTGGCATCGGTCCGAGAGGTGAGACGTCAGACAAGGAGGGGTGTTGTGTGGTGTTTGCTGCTCGCAGGTGGAGGGTAAATTGGGTTGGCCTGCTGGAAGCTTTGTGCTGCGGTGAGCTGAGAGACCAAGAGGTTTGCATGAGTTTTGTTGGAGTGGGATAGGTTGCGTGCGAAACAGAGAAAGAAGGATGGTTCGTTGGAGTTCGCTGGTTTGATGAGATGGTGGAAAAGAAGGTTGCAACTGGGATAGTGAGTTGTGGAGAGCTAGATGGAGGGGAAGGGTGAGAGTTGTCGTTGTTTTGGTGTGTGGAGAGGAGGAAGGAGAGGGATCTGCATGTGTGTGGGATGGAGCCAAATGAGGAGAGCATGGTATTAGGTGTTTTTTTATTATCATTTTATTAATTTTTAATAGTTGATAGCTTGTTGGCTACTTCTCATTAGAGGGATGGGTGGTTGCAACATGAGATTGGGCGATGGTAGTAGAAAGATCATGGGTGAGAGCAGCTGGGTGTCAAAGAGGGAAGATGTCTAATAATACACACACACACATACACACACATACATACATACTAAATACATACATTTCATTGAATATTTTACTCAATTTAAAAATATTTTAAATTCAATTGCCTCAAGGTACATGTCAACTCTTCGTGCACAAAGGCCCATCAACATGGCTGTCACCCCAAGGTAAAATTAACATTATGGATGTGCTCACATTGTCCGTTTCGCAACCGGGGGTTGTTTGGACAACTTCGGCGACAAACAAGAGGACTCGGGCCCAATTGCACACAATGTTCCTATAACTTGTCATTTTTTGCTTGTTTGGTTATTTGATCAAGAAATATCTCTTTTTAGGTAACTCCGACATTCCGTACATTCTCACGTATTCCATTTTCTTATCTGACATCATTTTGAGAGCTTTGACGGTGTTCTAAGTAAGTCATAGTTTGTGAGCAGTCACATTCATTATTCGTCATCCACCTTATGTCCGATTGACTCAATTCGAGAGGTGGGCGATCTCTCTTAAACACTAACCCTAAGATTTAAGACAACAATGACACATAACATAACCCTAAATATATTAAGCCCTATTTATACCCCAAATAACAAATGTTTAAATTAGACTTTTAGTCTTACGCCCAACATAATTTTTCAAATTATTTGGCAGATGGCACCTTAGTTGCCAGTCTAACATTACTCATTCCCAAAAAGACAATATGTCCTCAAAGTGGAAGAGAAGAAACTACTGTTGAATTAAGTCGCACAGTTCCCACACGACGTCATAATTTGGCAATCCTTTCCATATAGTCAATATTTTTTTCTCACCTATCAATTCTTGAGGCACTCTTTAACTGAAGTGGCTCCAAGAAAACTTCCATATTCTCATTGTTACCGGAGTTAGCCCAAACCACAAAAATGGAAGAAAATATTATTAAGCAAAAGCAACTGGGCTACTATCATGATTCAAAACACAAAAGGAAATACTACACAACAAAAATACTCGGCTAGGGTTAGGGCTAGGCGGGACCATTGATGGACAACAATGG